AGGAAGGAAGGAAGGAAACCAAACTTAAAAAACCATTAAAATGGATAGTCTTATGATAAAAATTGTTGGGATCCATGAGAATTCTAGTCCTTAGTTATCCCTTGAATCTGGGGCAAAACTCACCTCTGAGGCTCAACTTTCAGGGAAATAATAAATCAACCTCTGATATGAACACTACTATCTAAGAGGCACTCCCACCTCAGAATAATCAAATACTTAAGATTAAAATGGCAACATTTACCCAGGGATAAAGCTATTTCTATTATGTTTGTTGTTGTTGTGGACCATAGAATCAGAACCCTCTGGCGGGTTTTCAGAGGCAGTTAATCACATAATAACATACCAACAAGCAACAAATGCTGGTGAGGATGTGGAGAAACTGGAACTCTTATTATTGTACTGCCCATCCCACAGAGCAGCTGGTGACCTTGAACCACATGCCTTCAGGATTGCAGCCCAGCTTCTTGCCAGTAGACCACCAGAGCTCCTTGAATTTATATTATATTATTATTTATATTATATATGTTTAATAATATATCTTTATTATTAAACCGCCCCATCTAGATCTCAAGAATCCATTTTTCCCCTCTTGAAATTAGTAGACTATCTTAAGAATTGAAGACACTTGTTATCCTGTATACAAAATGCCCTTTTTTTACGTTGTTTATCCATTTTGACATTGTTGTTATGTACTATTGAGTCAGAATTAACCCACAGCAGACCCTGCAGCAGGCTTTCAGAGTTAGTTTAATCGCCCAGGAAGAGATTGCCCATCTTTCTTCTCACAAGCAGCTGGTGGATTTGAACCACGTGCCTTCAGGATTTCTTACCACTAAACCATCAGAGCTTCCTATTTAATTATTTACTGCACAGATAAAATTGAAAAAAAATCATTGTTTCTTTACTATTAGGGATCATTATTAAGTTATTAGTAATAGAATTATTTAACTATTATTAAATAATCATTCTTATTAAATACTAATTTTCAGAAATGATACTGCTTTCCATTTATTATCTTACTCTTCATGGCATCTGTATGTTCCAAGTTCTGTAATTCACAAATCAGGAAATTTAAATATAGAAATATTAAGCAAATTGACTAAGTTATCTGTGAATAATAAGTGATAGAATTTGAGTTTTAAGTCTTTCCAACTCCAAAATCTTTACTATTAATTACCCTACAATACTGTCTTCCTACAGTCATTACTCTTATTGAAGGGTACATTGTTTTAAATTTCTGAAACACAAATAATGGACAACTTTATATGTAAAATGAAGTTTAATTTTTTTTTCAGAAATATCTATTGATATGTCGTTTACAGGCCATGGGTTTAGACAGAAGAGTAAATATAAACTGTCATTTTTTTAAAGAAATTTATATGGAAAATACAGGTTATAATTATTCTATTAAACCCAAGTAGGAATTATATGAGTTCTTACTAAGTAATTAAATGTACTTAGGTCTCTAGGACTTAATTGTCTATACCTAATTTTTTATCTGCACAGGAATTTATACAGTGGTTTTTACCCAGGTCAACCACAGATTATCATATAGTATCAAAATGAATTTAAATATATTTGGAGTTGTAAAATGTGGTGGGTAGAGGGAGGGGGTGAAAGAAATGGGAAGGATTCTGTGGGGACATTAAAAGACAGGGTAATGACAGGCAAGGTTCAGTGGTGATTAATTTTATAAAACACGATGCATGGGAATGATTGTATGAATAAAAATGTGAACGATGGCTACTATGAAACATAATGTATATGCGTTTTGTAAGCAAACCAATATAAAATAAAAACAATTTTTAAATAAAATTTTTAAAAAGTTAAAGAATATATAATTTCTTTGGATGACTAACGTGTATACACTATTAATCATAGGACATATAACTCCAAAATGATTGGAAGGCTCTTGGGAACAAGGAAGTAGGTAAACTTTGATAAAAAACACTGATGTTACTTCCCTACTCTCTTTCATTTTCTAGATGCTGTATGATGAGAAAGAAAATTTTACTGGGGAAAGTCTATTGTCAAAATATGATTCTCTTAAGATTATGAGACATTTACAGGAAAACTGGACAAATATTGGGGTTGAAATATTCAGCCGCCATAAAAATATGGATGGGGAAATGCTGCCAGAGAGATTCTACGTGGAGGAAATTAACAAAGCTGTTGAAAAACTCTACAAAGAATATGAAATAAGGATAAATGGTGACAGTGGTAAGCAAAAGACCTTGATGATTCAAAATTGCTTGCTATTATAAGCATTTTAAGGAAAATTCTTGTTTATAACACAGGGAATTCTGGTGGTTTAATGGTGAGGGCTTGCGCTGCAATCCAAAAGCACGTGGCTCTAACCTGTCAGCTGCTCTGCTGGAGAAAGCTGGGCAGTCTCCTCTTGTGTGATTTACAGCCTCCAAAAACCCTCTGGAGGGTCAGCTATGGGTTGTTCTGTCTCGATGGTACATAACAACAACATAATACAAGTAATATTTAAAATAAAAAATCATGCATTCCAGATAATAAAAAGGTATCCCCATGCTTGTATTAGGTTCCTAGGGCTGCTTTAATAAAATATCACAAACTAGTTGCTGAAAAGAAGAGAAATTTATCATCTGACAGTTCTAGATGCTAGAATTCTGGATTCAGACAGTGCCATGCTCTCACTACCTTCATCTGTATGTGGCTATCTTCCCTCTGAGTATATGCCTTTTAGCTCCTTTTTGTAAGGAATCCGGTGAGGTAAGACTCACCTTGCTCTAATGTTGTCTCAGTTTAACTTATTATCTACAAATAACCTATTTCCAAAAAAGACACATTCATTTGTACTGGAGGTTGGGGCTTTAATGTTTTTTTAGGGTACACAGTTCAACCTGTTATAAACCCTTGGGCATGTGTATCACATTCTCTTGTCCATTTGTAGCACATTCCCTTGAGGAAGCCAGTTTTAATATTGTTTTCATTTTTTGATTCCTTTTGATATATACCTCCATGTTTGTACAGAAGAAGATGCTTATATTTCTGTTTCACTACTTATTGTAAGCATCATCCACTGGCTTTATGTTTTCACGGGAGATAAATTAACTAACTCTAACATTCTCACTTCCCTTTACCCATTTCCTGAGAGTTAAGTAACTATTTTTCTAGTTATCTTTAAGTAACACCTTTTAACTTTATAAAGTCATAACTTTATTCACATGCAACTCATATACTTTGCAATTCACCTATTTTATATGCCCTCTTCAGTGGTTTTTAGTATACTCACAGGTACATGGAACAGTAATCATTGTAAATTTTAGAATATTTTCACCACCTCAGAAAAGATACCCCATATTCTTTAGCTTCAACCCCTATACCTTCATTCCCTGCCCCCAGCCTTAAGCGACCATCTACTTTATATCTCCATAGTCTTCCTTACTATGGCCATTCATATAAAAGAAATCATATAGTATTTTGTTACTGATTCTTTTCATTTAGCATAAGGTTGTCAGCGTTCATTTATGCTGTAGCATTTATCAGTACTTTACTTCTTTTTATGGCCAAATAATAGGGGTTTTTTGCTTCTGTCTAACTTTACATACTGCCATCAAGTCTACCCAGCTCTCCATTGAGTTTCTGAGACTGTAAATCTTTCTGGGAAAAAATTAGCTTTTTCATGCAGAATGGTTGGCAGATCTGAACTACTGACCTTTCAGTTCACAGCCTGATGCATTATGCTACCAGAGTTCATGTATGCTATTGTTGTTCAGAGACATCAAGTTGTCTATGTACTCATAGTGACCCTGTGAACACCAGATCTGAACCGTGCCCTATCCTGTACCAACCTCTTAATCTCTGTCCTACTCAAGCCAATTTTAGTAATTACTATGTCAGGCCATCTTATTGAGGATCTTCCTCTCTTTCTCTGACCATCTTCCTTTCTCAGGGTAATGTCTCTCTCTACAGACTGGTTCCTCCTGAATGTATGCCCAAAGTAAGTGAGACAAAGTTTCACCATCCTTGCCTCTCAGGAGCACTCAGGTTGCACTTCTTCAAGAAGATTTTTTTGTTCTTTTAGCCATTCATGGTGTGTTATATATTCCTTACCAACATCAGAGTTCAAAGACTTTGATTCTTCTTTGGTCATCCTTATTCATTGTCCAACTTTCAAATGCACAGGAAGTAATTGACAATGCCATAGCTTGAATCAGGTGCACTTTAGTCTTAAAATGTATGTCCTTGCTGTTTAGAATGTTAGAAAGGTTCTTCACAGCAAATTTCCCCAGCGAAAAATATCTTTTGATTTCTTGACCATTCTATATTTGTTCCTATCCCCCCAAAATTGGTTCAACATAATGTATAAATTATCAAATAATACTGATAACACTACATGCAAGTAAGATTTGGCTAAAGATTATTTTTAAATTGCTGAACAGAACATCGCCAGGAAACTGTCAGGAATTCAATAGAGGATTCAGTTGAGGCCTTGGTAAAAAGTATATTGTTGATGTCAAGTGGATGCTTGCTGAAAGCAGAGAATTCCAGAACAATATTTACTTATGTTTTTTTAATAATGCAAAGGCATTTTACAGTGTGTATCATAACAAATTATAACAAATGTTGAAAAGAATGAGAATTCTAGAATACATAACTGTACTTATGTGAAACCTATACGCAAAAGGCTATTGTCCACAAAGAACCAGGGAATACTGCATGGTTTAAAATCAGGAATTGTGTGTGTCAGGATTGCATCATTTGTCCATGTCTATTCCTTCTATCTGCTGAGCAGATAATTGGAGAAGCTGGACTAAATGAAGAAGAATATTGCATCAAGATTGGAGGAATAGTCAACCTGTTTTATGCAGATGACATAACCTTGCTCGCAGCAAGTGAAGACGACTTAGAACACCTACTGAAGAAGATCAAAGATTGTGGTTTTCATTATGGATTGCAACTCAATATAAAGAAAACAAAACCTCACCTCTGGCAACATTATGATAAATGGAGAAAAGATTAAAGTTGTAAATTATTCAGTTTTACTTGGATCCACAATCAATACCGTTGGTAGTAGCAGCAGCCAAGAAATCAAAAGCCATGTTGGATTCAACTAATATATGTTGTTTTTGTTAGGTGCTATTGAGTCAACTATGACTAATAGTATCCCTATGAACAACATACCTGAATCCTGTCCTATCTTGTTTCATCCTCATCATCTCTGACACACCTGAGTCCATTACTATAATCATTGTTTCAATCTACCTCACTAGGAATTTTTATCTCTTTCACTGATCCTCCACCTTTCCAAGCATGATATCTATCCCTTTCCAAGGAATAGCATCTCCTAGCAACATGTCCAGAGTATGAGAGAGGAAGATTTACTGTCTTTGCTTCTGAGGAGTACTTTGGTTGCACCTTTTCTGAAACCTGTCTGTTTATCCTTTTGGAAGTCTATGGGATATATTCCCCAATGCTCAAAAGCATCAAAACACTCAAAAACATCAGTTATTTCCTGTCATCCTTATTCATAATTTTCCTGGTCTCAGAAGCATAAGTAATTGAAGAAACCTTGGCCTGAATCAGACACATCTTAGTCTTCAAACTGGCATCATCCCTTTTCAGTATTTTGGAAAAGTCTCTGACAGTGAACTTGCCCAAAGAAATGTTATTGTGTGCCACCAAGTCAACTATGACTTACAGTGACCCTATGCACAGTAGCTCTGACTCCTTCTCTATCCTGAGCCAATCTCATGATCTCTGACATATTTATCCTTATTGAGTTATTGTATCATTCCATCTCATCCAGGGTCTTCCTCCCTTGCTCTGTCCCTTGACTCTTCCAAGTTTGATATCCTTCTCTAAAGAACTGTTTTTCCTGGCTACATGGCCAAATTATGTGAGAAAGAGTCACAAAATCCTTGTGTCCGAGGAGAAGCTTGGCTTCACCTTTAGGAAAGACCTCTTCATTTCTTGGCAGTCCAAGGTTTGTTCAGTACTCTTGTCCAGCACCACAACTCAAAGACATCAATTATTCGTCTGTCATCCTTAATCATTTTCAAGCATTTTGATGCATAGCAAGTAATTACAAAGAGCATGGCCTGGATCAAGCATATTTTAGTCTCTAGATTGACATCCTTTTTAGCACCCTGGAGACTTCCCTGACAACAGCTTTTCCTAATTTAATTAATCTTTTGATTTCCTGACTGCTGGTGCTGAAAGTATTGATTGTGGAACCAAGCAAGCTGAAATTTTTACCAATCTCAGTTTCTTCTCCATCGATCTTGATGAAACCAGTGGGCCCAGTGGTGAGTATCTTTGTCTTTTTGATGTTGAGCTTCAGTCCATATTTCAAACTACATACATTTTTTTGACCCTCTGTAGCAAATGCTTCAGTCCCTCCTCAGTTTTAGCAAGTAAGGTTGTGTCATCTGCATAACACAGATTGTTTATGAGTCTTCCTCTAATTCTGATGCCTCATTCCTCCCTAGAAAGTCCAGCCTTTCAAATGATTGTTCTGCATACAGTTTGAAAAAGATATGGAGACAGGACACATTCCTGAGACACTCTTTTTCTGATTTTGAACCTTCCAGTGTTTCCTTGCTCTGTTCTGACAACTGCCTCCTGGTCCAGCAATAGGTTTTGCATGAGCACAATTAGGTGCCTGGAATTCCCATTCTTCTGAAGGATAGCCACTATTTGTTGTAACCCACATAGTCAAATTCCTTTACGTAGTCAATGAAACACAGATAGACATTCCTCAGGTACTCTCTGCTTTCAGCCAAGATCCACCTGACATTGACAGTGATGATTTTAGTGCCACAACCTCTTCTACACCCAGGCTTTATTGCTGGTAGTTGTCTATGTACTGTTTCGGTTATTCTTGGATAATTTTTAGCAGCATTTTGCTTGTGTGTGATATTCTATAATTTTAACTTTAATTGTGTTATTCTATAATTTCCACACTCTGTTAGAATACCTTTTTTTGGAATGGGAACAAATATGGGTCTCTTCCAGTCAGTCGGTTAGGTGTATGTCCCCCAGATTTCTTGGCACAGCCTGGTGAGTATATCCAAAGCTGCATCTGTTTGTTAAAATATGTCAACTGGTATTTCATCAATTCCTGGGGCCTTGTTTTTTGCCAATTCCTTCAGAGAAGCTTGAACTTTCTCCTTCATCACCATTGCCTCTTGAACATATGTTGTTTCATGAAATACTCTGTCAGCCAGATGGTTTGTGGTTTTGTT